AGGTCAGATGAAGGCCAGTGGCAACAAGTTCCAACATGCTTGTTGCAGCGGGAAGCTGGGACAGGAAAGAACCCACAGATCTGGCCTACCCTCCACATCCCGAGGCACCCATGGGCAAGGCAGTGGCTAAGAAGGAAGCAGGGGCCTTCCTCTGAGCATTCATGACAGACCCAAGCTGCACTGACTGCTTGAGGAGCATCAGCGCATGTAATCTTCCACACAATCCTCCGAGGAAGCAGAACCGGCATGATGTATCTGCCCACCTGGGGACCTGGCGAGGCCATTAACCATGCCTTCTGCTCCCTCCTGGCCACAACATGCCCAGTGAAGAGCCTCCCTCAATGCTATAGAAGGCGTCAGGAGAAAGGGGTCTCTTCTCTGTGGATCCTGCATGAGGCTTGGTGCCAGCAAAGGCCATCTTTGCAGCTGTGTGCAGAGGCCCACCTAAGAAGGAGACAATACCTAGAGGGCCAGAGCCAAGGGCAGGGGTGGGAGGAGAGCAAGACCTCACAGAGCACCTGGGCCCAGCGACGCCTGGAGAGAGATCAGTTAGTTACAGCAACACAAAATTCCCCTGCTGACCTAAGCTAAACTGGTTTGGGTTTCTACTGCCAAAAGCATATTAATATTAGCTAAGACTATTATGTCAGGACACAGGTGCACAGCATCCTTACATGAAGTTTGGAAGGGGCCATGCCACCCACCTCCTCTTATATTTTTAAACAGACAAAGACCCAGAGGCTCAGACGGGGAAAGGGAATAGCTCTGGTCACACAACTGGCAACAGGTTCTTGCTAGCGCACCAGTGTGACAAAGAATGACAGTAAGGCTGGTCCCAACATGAGAGACAGGAAAAAAGGCCTTGAGCAGGGCTCTGTCACACAATCTAGGGGGGTGTTCACATCCGTGATGAGTCACAACAAACTGCAAGTCTCTCTGGGAAGGTGGCAGGTTGACTGTTGAGGGAGCACAGAGAAAACACCACTTGCTCCAATCCCCTAACATCCCAACTAGGAAGCCTCGTTAGTCAGGACTCCGGATACAAAAGAGAGGAGACCAGTGATGAACTGGTTCAAGTTACAAAAGGAACTTATTGGCTCACATAACTGCCAAGTCCAGAGGGAAAAATAGCTTCAGGAACGACTGGATCCAGGAGCTCAAATGGGATCAGGACCTGTGGGTTTCTCTCTTCATCTATCCCTCTATTTCTCCACTGTGTTGTCACCATGGGGAGGTCAGCATCTTCCCACACAGTAGCAGACAGCTGCCAACAGCTCCTGGCTTACTCCATATCCCCTCAAGAATGCTGTAATCGGCTCATCAGATCAGCCTGGCCGCAGGCCCTTCTTTAACTCGATCATGATGGCCAAGGGATGGGACAAGCTGACCGTCCGGGCCTGGATCATCTGGCCTGCTCTGGAACCCGGGCAGGCAGTGGTAGAGTCAGTTGCACCAAACTACATGTGCAGAATGGGGATGAGGAAGAACCGGCCAGGAGAGATCAGGGTAGTGTCTGTCCCAAGGCGAAACAGAAGCATGGTGGATGTGGTAGGTAACCTCCAAGATGGCACCCAATGACCCCACCCCACCCACCTCTTGGCACGCACACTCATGTGTAGATTCTCCCACATGAACAAGGTTGATCTGTGTGACAATGGAATGCAGCATTCCGAAGTAATTGTGTCTCATTTCCAAGACCAGGTTATAAAAGAAACAGTGGCTACCATGTCAGGTGTATTCTCTAGCTTGAGTTACCCAAGAAGCCAGCTGCTGTGTTGTGAGCAGCCACGTGGAGAAAGCCTACAAGGCGGGGAGCTGAGCTCCTGGCAACAGCCACACGAGTAAGCTTAAAAGTGGCCCCTCCAGCCCTAACTGGCATTGCTCAGTGGTTAAGAGTGTCTGCCTAGCACCAGAGTGTCACGGGTTCAATTCCGAGGCAACCAATAGATCCAGTCTTTCCTGAAGCTATTTTTCCTCTGGGCTTTTCAGTTATGTGAGCCAATAAATTCCTTTTGTAGCTTGAGCCAGTTTGTTATTGGTCTCCTCTCATTTGTTTAGATGTCTCCCTCATATCAATGCTTCATTCTCCTCTCTCCCTTTCCTCCCTCCTTTCCTCCCTCCTTTTCACTCTCTAAAAATCAATGGAAAAAATATCCTCACTCCTCGGGTGAAGATTAAGAAGAATAAAAATTTAAAGGAGGCCCGTCCAGCCCCAGCCAAGTTTGCAGGTGACTACAGCTCTAGCCAACAGCTTGACTGCAACCTTGTGAGGCACTTAGAGCCAGGACCACCCAGCTGAGCCATCCCAGATTCCCAACTCACAGAAATTCTGGAGGATCATAAATGTTTGCTGTTTGAAGGTGCATGTTTAGAGCTGTTTTGTTACACAGCAAGAGATAACTGATACAATGAGCAGAAAGAAAAAATGTCTCCGCGGTAATGCACAACCCCATTCACTTGCTTCTCTCAAAGGTACCTCTCATGTCAACATGTGCCTTCACTCTGTGATCACCTCACTCATAGCCTGAGTTCTCTTAATTCAGTGGGAAACATGGCCATCGATTACTCAGGGAGCAAGGCTTAACCACCCTGAGCTGCCACCGATTGTAACGCCGCTGCCTCAGAAACCAGCAGCTGCTTGGGACACACAAGCACTGGCTGGTTATACTGCCCCAATCATGGTTGAGCCATGACAGCACGAAAGGAAAGGCATTAATTCTGAGCGAAAAGAGATGTGTAATAAAATGATGAACTTGTTCAGGGATGTTTTAGTTTTACAATTAGCATATACTCAGAACCAGTAAAACACTCATACACACAAACACACTCTTAGAATATAAGTCATTTCATTTTTTTATGTCTGAAATAGCCTAGTACTTAATTCTTTCTGCACCGCTGCTGTTAAAATATAACTTTTGATGTGGCAGGGTTTCTTAGTAATATAATTACCATACTGAAGAAAAATGATAATGATAGTTAACATTTATTGAGCATTTATGAAGCACATTTATTGAACTGACATATGGTCTCTCATTTTATTGTGCAACAACCCTAGGAAGTGGAGAGTTTTCTGATTCTCAATTTAAAACTAAGGAAATAGAGACATTAAGTAACTTGCTCAAGGTCATACAACTAATCAGCATTAGAGCCATAATCAGACCCCCACAGTCCAATGCCAGAATCCTCGCCACCAACCACTAGGCTAAACCACTGGCATTATGATACCTGCCACCTGAACACCTGTGACCCGAGAACAGGGTGCCCCAGTGCTCACACAGGCCTGGCCCAGCCTCGCTGCCCCACCCGGCCCCCACCTGAGAACACTGACAGCTGCTCCTTCTGTAGCAAGAAGAAAGCTTGACGGGCAGCAAAGATGAACTGTGCCTGGAACGTGTCAGCAGCTGGATTTTTCAAAACATACACATCCAGCCTCCCTGTTTGCTTTTTTTCCATTTTTTTTCCTGAAGTATTCGCTTATTTTACAAATGTTCCTTCTACCTGCAAACTGTGAACCTTCAGGTATCTTAAACTCTTAGCTCCCCATTGTTTAAATGAGGAGACTTCAGGTCATAACACTCCTTAGTTAAGAAAAATGTTTCTACTCCATTGCTGGGGAAAATTTTCCTAAGGATTACCACAGGCTAACATACACTTCCTGTAAAATACGCTTGCAACAGCTCGCTGGTGTTCAGAACCTTATGTACTTCCACGCAAGGTCCTCCCATGTGGGTAGCTTAGCCTCGCCAAGTTATAAATGGGGAAGTGCACACTTGTGAAGGTTAAGCAGTTCACCCAGAAACTTGCCATCTTCACACAATGGAGCTGACTTCGAACAAAATCCAAAGTGGCAGGGAATATAAGTCTGTCTTTCTCTGATGAATCAGAACCGCCTCTACAGACCGCAGCCTGTACTGTGAGCAAACACCATCGGAGCTGACTCCGAACAAAATCCAAAGTGGCAGGGAATACAAGTCTGTCTTTCTCTGATGAATCAGAACCGCTCTCTACAGACCGCAGCCTGTACTGTGAGCAAACACCATAACATGTGCCTTCACTCTGTGATCACCTCACTCATAGCCTGAGTTCTCTTAATTCAGTGGGAAACATGGCCATCGATTACTCAGGGAGCAAGGCTTAACCACCCTGAGCTGCCACCGATTGTAACGCCGCTGCCTCAGAAACCAGCAGCTGCTTGGGACACACAAGCACTGGCTGGTTATACTGCCCCAATCATGGTTGAGCCATGACAGCACGAAAGGAAAGGCATTAATTCTGAGCGAAAAGAGATGTGTAATAAAATGATGAACTTGTTCAGGGATGTTTTAGTTTTACAATTAGCATATACTCAGAACCAGTAAAACACTCATACATACAAACACACTCTTAGAATATAAGTCATTTCATTTTTTTATGTCTGAAATAGCCTAGTACTTAATTCTTTCTGCACCGCTGCTGTTAAAATATAACTTTTGATGTGGCAGGGTTTCTTAGTAATATAATTACCATACTGAAGAAAAATGATAATGATAGTTAACATTTATTGAGCATTTATGAAGCACATTTACATATGAGTTATTAAAGATGGCAGCCTGTGCACAACACAGAACCGTCTCCATGATGTAGAGTGAGTGTGTGTTAGACATGCCACCACCGTGCATTAAGGGAGGAAAGGAGGAAGGGAGGCGGGAGGGCAATGAAAAGCAGGTACACACATCCAGAGATGTGCGCATGCATGGGCAGCTCTGGAAACAGTACCATCGCCCATCCCCTGGGCAAACGTGGTCACTGGAGATTGCACACTGTAACCAGTTATACGCTTTGTATTCTGAAACATGTGTGTACATATTATTCAACATGTATTTGATAAAATATTAAAATTTCAAATGCATACATTTTATTGCTACTGGTCACAACACTTTTTAATTAAACTGTGTTGGTAAAGGTGTGCTTGGGCTTCAATAAGCCTCCCAGGCCCACCCCCGGTGTCTCTGCCCTCCTACCTTGCCAAGGCCTGGATCTTCATGATGTGCCGCTCCTCCTGCTCAGCCACCTTCTTCTTCAAGGTGTCGACCTCTTGCCGGAGGACAGCCGAGTGCTCCATCTCACCGTCCAGCAGGCTCCGCAGTGATCTGGAAGAGGAGGGCCCAACCATTCAGATGCTGTGAGCCCAGAGCCCATCGAGCCCAGGACACAGACATTTGGTCAAGACCTAATCATTCATTTTCCACAAGGCTACGCATAAGCCATAATCCTAATCTATCTCATTACAAATTCCTTTAAGGAGATACCAAACTCTGCTCAAAAGCCTCAATCATTAGGATGACCCCAGGGGACCCATCTGTGGTCTAGGCTCTGTGTCCCTATAGCCTGTGGGCAGCTGAAATCAAGAGAAACGGTGAGTTGAGCGAATCTCAGGCAAGCCCCTTCAGACATCCCAGCCAAAGGTGCAGCACATTCAACGGAGGCCACTATGTCCCAGCCACCTGAAGAAGAGAGTTAACAAAGGATGCCAGTTCAAACCAAAATAATCTGAGCCATCAAAATAGAACACAGGCTCAGATTACCTAACAGATGTCCATCCTCATTTCCACTCCTACTCACAAAACACACTTTAACCCTGACCCCTGCAGCCTCCAGGTTAAACAAGCATATAGAGAGTTTATAGAGCTATAGAGTTTGCACGTGTCATATTTTATTTATATCTGGAGTTTGTTAATCCTCCAAAACACGTGCACTTGTGAATCTGCCATCCTTGGTCTTAGACAGAGGCTCACCCAGAAATGAATGTAAGTTAGCACCTCGGAGTGAGCCACGCCTGGGTCTGCTGACCATCTACTTCACTGACCTCAAATGGCTATTTCTAGGAAGTATTTACTGACTCTGATGCATCTCCCTCCCAAATCTAGACGACACTTGCCCTGGGACATCGAAATATAAGCAAAAGTGTCTGACCTCCCACCCCCACCATTCACCACACTCTCCAAGACCGGTGAGAAAATTCCCCTCTTGGGCCTGGGACTCTGACACAAATCATGGGAGGAGAAGGAGAAGAAATTAACACACAGTGACTACTGTTTCTCACAAGGTAAGACAAAAACCTATGGCTTCTTCCATAACAGCTCCAGCTGGAGCAAGGAGAAATCCTGCAATGTCTACAGCCCCTTTGTTGAAAGTTTTCTTGGGGAAATCGTGCTGTCTAAAGATCCTGTTTTTAAAAATTCTCTTTTGTTTTAGAAATCATGCTTGTTTGCTTTTGTATGCTTTCATAAAGGATGAGGGAGAAGCTTGTCAAGCAGGGCCCAAAATAAGATTTAAAAAGGAGAATCATGATGACATGTCACCACGGAGTCTTAATTCCTGCTCTGAGTAAAGAATACGAGAGTGACATGAGCACACACTCACATGCGCGCGTGCACACATACAGGCACCCAACCCACCCCAACCCCCAGGGAGGCAGGCAAATCCCTCTCCTGACCACCTTGCAGCCTAGACAAGGTGCTGGCAGTCAAGAGGCTCCCATCAGGCAGCCAGGTGGTAGCGACATAGACGATACCTGCTTTTCAACAGGGAACAAAAGACAGCCCTTTGCCCTCTCAATGTCTGCACCTGAGCTTTTGGGAAAGTCAAAAGAATTCAAGTACCATGTTGCCAAAGTACCTGTTAATGGAAAAAACTTTAAGCCAAGTACTCCAAGTGCCTGGAACATGGCAGATAGGCCCTCAATTAAAGGTTACTCAAAAGACTGCTTCACTGGGTGACCGTTAAAGGGTACATGGGGTTCTTTTTACATGATGAAAATGTTCTAAAATTTTAGTGGTGATTCATATAGCTGTGAACATACTAAAACCATTGAGCTGTATGCTTTACATGGGTAAATTGTATGATATGTGAATTCTATCTCAATAAGGCTGTTTTTTAGTTTTAAAAAGATTGCTTTACCAAATCTTAAGCTTATTCTAAGGTAGTGCCATGAATGTATGGTTTTCATTCCTTGCTCACTCAGACTACAATATATATATTAAAGTGGTAATTCACAGACCAAAAAAGAATTACAAAATCATTGGTCACAATTTTGCCAATAAAGCAGAATTTTTTCATCTGTGATATTTTCTGTCCCAGAGGTAGAATGTCAAAGGACGAGGCCCTGCCTCGAGCCTGGATGTCAGGATACCTGTTCTCTTCCTCCAGCTCATCCTTCCGGTTCATCATGGCCACGATGGCTTGTCGCAGTTCACCTAGGAAGAAAGCACATCCACATTAGTCTGGGGGATCTCTCCTATTCGCTGTCCTCTCACCAACCACCAATCTGGGTTATGGGCTATTTATAGTGACTTGTCTACACAAGTTCCCTTTCCTTTTCAAAAATAATTCCTATACAACTCAAGTTATCCAATGGGCTCAGCTGCTCACTCTCATTAGCCACACAAAACAGAAGGACAGGATGGAATATGTGTGGAGTTGTCTCTTTGGTGAACCCTCAGCCGCCTGGAAAAAGCAGGCTTGTGGTTTCTAAGTGCTTCAAGGTCCCTGCTGCTGGACCACATCTGTTCTGAACAATGACATATTCCCAGTTACAGCTGCCCATCAACAGCGGATCAGACAGCAGACCGAGTGACACTTGGGTCCACACTGACATGGAAATCCTCAAGTTTACTAAGATACCTGGTTTTCTATAGTCAGCATATAGGCGACC